GTTCTTCAACGCTGTCCTGTTTGAAGGGAGAACTCCGGAAACGTGGAGTAGGAGTGTGGTCGTTTTATTCTTCAAAAAGGGTGACAAGACCATGTTGAAGAACTATCGACCCATATGCCTTCTTTCCCACGAACCGTCTTGACACGAATCGACGAATTACATCCACCGGTGCAAGCTGGATTTCGGAGCGGATATGGCACCATAGACCACATCCACACAATGCGACAGATTATACAGAAGACCGAAGAATATAATCGCACAGTGCCTTAAGACGAAAGTCTTCAATGAGTGCGTCCTACCCGTCATGACATACGGAGCCGTGCCATGAAAAGGGCTATGCTCGGTGTTTCTCTAAGGGATCGCATCAGGAATGAGGTGATCCGGCAGTGACCAAGGTCACCGACATAGCCTACCGGATCAGCAAGCTGTAGTGGCAGTGGGCTGGCCATATTAGCCGCAGAACCGACAACCGTTGGGGAAAACGAGTTCTTGAGTAGAAACCGCGTCTCGGCAAACGTAGTGTAGGACGCCAACAGGCCAGGTGGAGTGGCGATTTGCCCAAGATGGCTGGCAGAAGCTGAATGCGAGAAGTCCAAAATCGATCTAAGTGGCGTGCAATGGGAGAGGCCTATGTCCAGCAGTGGACTGCGATAGTCTGATGATGATGATTGCGATTACATGTAAATAACCATTTAACAAGAGGTGGCATTAAAAAGTCGATTACGCAAAATTCTGGATAGTGACAGTTTTGGATTAGGGGGCGATATTTTGGACGTAAATAAATATACGTGTAATTGTACTTTTCTACTAAAACAAGTTTTCAAGTAGGTCACAGAGTACTATGTTCAGTAGCAGTAGGTACCGAGTGATTTTGATAAGCTGTGATTTATTATAGTAAGAATGTTGAGGTCGGCTTCTCGAAGAGCATAATTTAATGCAGATACTGAAATTTGTAACGATGATGCTTTAAACACTAAAATGATTAGAAGTAGTAAAGGAATTTTAAAAAAATAGAAAGGAAAACAATCCATACGATGTCATTTCCCTGGTGTTTTTGCTGTATGATGTCCCCATCACTGCTCTGCAACGTTTGATTGTCTTCGATCGAGTATCGAAAGACAATAGCTCGTCTACGAATCTTAACATGCTACATGAATGGTTTCGACATGCTAAAAACACACCACGACTTGGAAACATGAATGTATAGAGACACTATTAATTTGTCAACTAAATAGTGTTGTTAGAAAGCTTGGATTCCATGTACCAACTGCCCGAACTTATTACCAAATAGATAACATGCAAACCAAAATGTTTATTAATCCTGTAAAGAAGGCATTGTATAAGTTGTGTGAAAATATGAATGCTTATAACATTTTCACTCTTAAAAAGGCTCTTTTGACCTATGATATTGATTTTTTTGAAACTCATGTGATAAAATTATAACTGTTAATGAGTGTTAATATAATACAAAGACGGTTGCTTTCCAAGTTCAATTAGAAAAACTTCTTAGAATTATTGAAACTTTGCCAGGCTTGCAAACATGTGCACATGTAAAATTAAACTTTTGCAGCAGTCATTTAACGGAGATTCCAAGCCTAGTGCTCGTAGTACAGGGTGTACTACGAGCACTAGACTGTGAATATAAAAGTAGATGAGATGAATCTAATCAGGGTTCAGGTACCTATAATTTACATTTACACTGCAATTATTTTAAAGAGCTTTTTGGCATGATTGGTAAACTATCTTCGGAAGATAGTTAGAAGAAGATTGTTTTGAAATAAAAAATCCCAAAAGCGTTGTAGTTACGTACTTGTGTTATACTTAACCAAATAAACTTTTATCGATCTAAAAATAGTAAAGAAAACAATCAAACTCAAAAAAAAACAAACAACAAACAAACACTTGCTAAGAGAAACGGATTTTTGATGTATGTAATTTGTATCTAATAAATATAACAAAAAGGATCCAAAATACGTAAATCGTTTTTGATTTATCTATAATTTAATTAATTTTATCGCATTGGAATAAAATAACCATTTCTGATAACACAATATTAAAATATAATTAGTTTGGAATTATATAAAACCACCTAAAGACCTATGAAAAGTTAACACGCGAATACTATAAATACTGCACGAAAGTGAGTATACCGCAAGACTTAATGTTTGAAAAAAACAGTAAAGCAACAACAAGCACTGTTGAATTAGACTTTCTGTTAAGAAAAAATAGACGACGCTGATACGGTTTAAACCACGAGCAAACCGATTCAACTCAGTTCATGTCCAAATCGGTTTGAAAAGTTGATTCCTTTCACCACAATTTTAGATGTTGAATCTGGTGGCAAGTTCATTTAACTGTTGGCAACATTGTACTTAGAGTTAGTTATACTCAGTTATACTTCTGCACTATGTACATGTACAATGTGTGCATATCTCTCAATCTGTGATCTGCACGTGTTTCTTGAAGTTCGGTAAGTTTACGGATACTAAGTGTTTTTGTGATTATTGCAGTACTAATCGGAATAAGGTATTATGCCGTTTTATTGTTACATATATTTACCTACATACAATTAGCTTTTCATTAGCAATGGGTAAGACAAAACCCCCCGACACTGTTGATGATTCTTCCCCTCCAACTCCTACTTCTTCCTCTTTCCGAGAAGATTTGGTTATCTGTTTGTCTTCTAGAATTTCCCAATGCAACTCTACTGGACTGCGTACCCACTATAAATTTCTTGGGGAATTGGTGCCGTGAGTCGCGATCTAACGATTTCGACTTGTGATTTTGACAAGACATGCATGTTGATAACCCTTAGGTGTTGTAGAGTTCCAAAAAGGTCTTTTTAATTTTATTCCAAAGTTATTCGAGTCCCTGTACAATGTTGACGGGTCTGCTGATGATGCTAGCCCGAGCCACAACTTCAATGTTTTAGTGACTTTCGCTTCCAGTATTCTTAAGTGGTTCTGGTTTATATCGTATACCAGAAATGGCCAGTTGAGACGTGATGTTAAGTAGTTATCGTAAATCCAAACTTTTTTACGTTACTTTATGGGCTGTTAGTCTACTTTGTCAATGTCTTTTATGAAGTCATCGACTATTACGTTCAGAGATGGGGTACAACCTTTGTAGTTTCTGATATTGTTGAAACACTTTCCCTACCAATTGTAGTCCTGGGGTCATATGAGGTATATCTGGTACCTTGCCGGCCCAGACAAAAGCAATAGAATTTGCTAGGTTTTATCCTCACTCCGTCCATTCAGGTACAAAAGTCATCCACCTTACGCAGTAGTTCTTGGCACTGCTTCGGTTACACTTGCACGATTATGTGTGAGCCATGATTCCAGATATTTTCCATTGACCTTAAACCAGTAGCCCTACCTCTTTTCATATATTGCAATGTTGTCCAATAATACATTTATAACCTTATCAAATACTACTGGTGATAAGCAGCAACCTTGGAACAACCCTTCTTTGTATTCAAGGGGGTTTGTATGTCCATCTTTTGCTGTGATTTATTACAAATTTTAGTATGATACAATTATTTCACAACATGAGCTAGTGATGTACTGAGCCAAATGCATTTTCTAAATCTATCCAACAGACTGTTATTTACCTTTCATTTATTCTAGCATCTTTAAGACTTTCCGCTAGTAATGAGTTATGCTCCAGACATCCAGAGATTCTGGGCATGAACCTTTTCTGGTGACTTGGTCTGCAGTAATTATAGTTTGATATCAACCGTATTCGTTTTAATTAAAAATATATTCAAAATTGTATTGATAAGGGCTATCGGTCTAGTGTCTCTAGGATCTATTACTTCACTTAGGAATGAGGACAAAATTAGCTTTTCCAAAGACTGTTGGTATCTCTTTGCTCAACCAGATCTTACAGAATATACGAAGGAGTTCACACACTGATTGTCATTTTTTATATACTAAATATGGTATACCATCCGGCCCTGGAGCTGATTTTGAATTTTTCTTTCTAATATGGGTATCTACTTCTTTAAGGTTGGCAGGCTACAATTAAATTTGAAACAAGAGCTTGCTGGGTTTTGTGTACTTGGTTCAAGATAGATCTTCTCATGCGTAGTCACCTCGTACGTAGTTTTATAGTGTTCATATATCTGGTCAGCCGTTAGAAGCAGTTTTCCACACTTCTTAAAGATATTTCTAGAATATTGGTTAGTCTGCTTTGCTCTGTTTAAGTTTTGTTTGCAATTTGTACTCATACTCCTTGAATTAACTTTAGTATTGATCTTAAAGATCAGGCCAGGTGGCTCAGGTGGATATCACCCATGGCTTTGGCATTCTGTAGTCGTTTGACAAGGTCCTCTTTCTCAATTTGGTCTTAAACTTGTCTATTTAGGTCTTGTTTTGCTCCAGGATAATCTAGGAGAACTGCCAATTTCTGGTTGTGTGATTTCCAAGTGGTCTCTTATAGGAAGGACATGGAAAGATGTGGATGGGCTCCTGGTTCGGATGACTCTGTCTTACAAATGTATGTCTTGCATCAATTCCATTGAGTGTTTTCAAATATTTTAGGAACAGCTCTTTTTTTTTGTACTGTTTCCCACACGTGGGGCATCTCAAATACATTATCTCGCCAGGGTTGTCTGTGTAATCTTATGGTGGACAGTTCTTCCGGTTCCTCTTTTGACTGTCTTGGACTGTCCCGGAATTTATATTATTTAGCTTTTAATAATTAGTTATCCATTATTATTACTGTAATATAAAAACACATGTACACGTATATATATTATATAGCATTGTGTTGTATTCGTAATATTTGTTTCAGTGTTCAAAGTTCATAAGAAGATTCGCAACGACTCCAAATTTTGACCAATTAGTCATCACACATACTTGAGCACCTGACTGACATTGGCAGAATTGTCGATGATCGGCATCACTTGCCTTAGAGAAACATAGAATAGACTATTTGTAGCCTCAAGTATTGTATGTATGAAAAGTCTACTGGGACTAAATAATTGACATACAAACATGTCTCACATATCTTATCCATTTAAGAAAACAAATAAAGCTGTGTACCAGAAGCCAGCATCTGTTCTTACAGAAGATACAATTTATTGGAAGAAATTAGGGGTAAGACTTAAAGAAATAGTATTATTTTAGATATTATTAGGAGAGGATTAACTTATTTTGTGAGAGGTTTATATATACCAGACTTATTTTAAGATCCGTAATAACAATATTTTGCCTACAATTTCAGCTACCAGTCTTAGTAAAGGAGTTCGGAGCGATAGACTATTTAGACTTCAGTCCTGTAGAACCTTATTACTTTGCTGCAACATGCTCTGTCAGAGTCCAGGTACATACCTGTTTATATTTTAATTTTTCTTTTAATAACAATAATTGAGGAGTGCTTCACCACAATATAGTACTTAACTATTCTTTTATTAATATTATGTAAGAGTAGAAACTTATTGTATGAGTCTTACATTTGTGTAAATTTATGATAAATGGTTATATAATGGTGTTATAATTGTTCAAGGTATATGATCCAATTACAAAAGTTGTAACAAAAAACATTTCAAAATTTGTGGAAGCTGCATATGGAGCCACATTCCGAGGAGATGGAAGGCTCTTAGTTGCTGGCAGTGAAGAAGCTGTTGTGAAACTAATTGATATTCAGTCCAAGAATATCCTCCGAGTGTTTACTGGTCATACAGGACCTGTGAGTTTTTGAAATTAAATTTTCATACATTATTTTTATTATTAAATATTTGATATTAAAATAATAATAACATCTTGATGCATCTCACACACTGCTGTCATATTCCAAATGAGACAGATATTTTGCCATCCCAGATAGTTACCATCCCAGATAGTTACCAGACCTGATAAATTACACCCAGACACATAAATGATCATACTTATCCCACAACTATTTGTCCTGGGTGGCAATCAAACCCATAACCTTAACTTAACAGTCAGGATCACTAACCAACTCATCAACTGCCTATTACAGTCCACTGCTGGACATAGGCCTCTCCTTAGAAAGGAGGTTTTGGCCTACTATACCACGCTGGCCAGACGGGTTGGTATAGGGTTTGTTTCAAGTTTTCCTTCTCTTTGCAGTGCTGTTGTCCTGCGTAGTTTGCTCCCTTAGTCGGCTCTTACGACACCCACGGGATGAATAGGGGTCACCACACGGGCCACCACCAACTAGGCCAGTCAAAAATAAAATTAAACATTTTAGTAAACAATTATTCATATTAAATTTTTACATCCTTATGTATTTTGTATGCTTTATATCTTTTATAAAATTTCAGGTTCACAGAACATACTTTACAAAAGATCAAGTTAAAATTTTAAGTTATTCTGATGACAAATCTGTTAATTTATGGGATATAGCCACAGAAGAAAAACTAGCCACATTCTCAGAACATACAGATTATGTGAGAGCAGGAGCTGCTAGCCCTATCTCACCAGATATAATATTATCTGGCAGTTATGATCATACCGTCAAATTGTATGACTGCCGATCTAATGAAACAGTTCTCACTGTTAACCATGGTTGTCCAGTTGAATCAACACTATTCCTACCTTCAGGAGGAATATTTATAAGTGCAGGTGGTACAGAAATTAAAGTTTGGGATATTTTTAATGCTGGAAAATTACTAGCAAATATTTCACAACATCATAAAACTATTACAACTCTTGGACTAGCCAGTAATAATAGTAGACTTATGTCTGCTTCTTTAGACAGACATGTAAAGATATATGATATCTCTACTTTTAAAGTTATTCACAATATTGATTTCCCCAATGCAGTACTAAGTATGGCCATATCCAAAGATGATGATACTCTGGCAGTAGGGATGATTGATGGTATAATTTCTGTACGAAAGAGAGAAAAGCCAGCCCGCCTTGCTGATGAAAAAAGAGGTTTGTTTAAATTTGCACCAGATCACATTCAAACTTCAATTGTAGAAGAGGCTAAAACAAAAGAAAAATTAAATATAAGCCCAGAATCTGATAAGTTCTTAAGAAAGATGGAGTTCACTAAAGCCCTTTCTGCTGTTTTAAAAACTTATGTCGCTACAAAATTTCCGGAAAAAACAACAGCATTAATTCAAGAAATGCTTAGGCGAAAAGTTCTTCATGTAGCTATGGATGGACTAAATGAAAAAGACATAGGCAGACTACTTAAATATTTTAAGAAGAATGTTGGAGAGACCAGATTTTCTAGAGTAATCATAGATGCATCAAATGTTTTTGTTGATGTTTTTGGAAATCATGTAAAAACCTTTTCTGAATCTAATAAATTTTTATACACATCACTAGGAAAAGCTATTGAAGATGAAATAGACCTCTGTAAGAGGATATGTGAATTGGAAGGTGCTATTAATCTACTAATGGCTGGAGCTCAAATTAGCAGCAGTAATGATACTATAGAAATTAATGACACCTTTACACCATCATCAAAAGCACAGAAAGATATCGTAATTGATATATAATAAATAGATTACTTTTTATTTGTTCTTTCTATAATATTAATGAAACAGCATTTAAAATGAAACTTCAAAACAGAACCTTACTGTACCTAAAGGAGAGTACTTTGAGGTGTAGAACATAATGTATCTGATACTGTATCAAATGAGTACGTTTGCGCGAGCCTGCTGCGAACCGCTCGACCGACCCGTCGACTGGCGGTTCTACTGCGAACGCTCGTTGACAGCAACGCGTTCGTATGTGTAGTGAGTATGTCGGCACGAGCTTCGAATATCATGGAGGGGACGGAAGAAAAAGTTTTCACTTTAACTGAACTTTACCAAAAATCTCCGGTGTTGTGGAATCATAATAAAAAAAAAACTAAAAGTGGATGCTTGGGCAAATATCGGCTAGGCTATGGGTATGCCGGGCGACTGCTGCAAAAATAAGATTATCACCTTATAGGCTTGCTACTGAAGGGAGAAAGTGAAAATAAAAATTAGATATGAAACCAGTAAAGGTATAAAACTTTTATTTATTTGTTGGTATTTTACTATTTTCTATAATACTACACATTGAAAATGAACTTATCTAAAATACTATTTTAATTAATGTTTTTTCTTTTATTCTACAGGAACTTCAGAGATATATGTCAGCAATTAGTTTGCCTTTGAAGCAATGTCGTGTTGATTAAACAGAGACGCTCCACGCAAAGGCAGAAAAAATATTGTAAGTATCTTAATTTATGCTTATGCATAGCTGTCTTGTCTGGACAGCCTTCCTTCTGTTGTAAAATAATTGCCCACTCGTCTCATAATTCTTTAACCATCGCTGGAGAACAGCGTGCAACATTTCTAATGGGATAGAATGACGTCATATCTGTATCATGACGCTCTTGAATGAATTGCCTATCTTCGTTTTCTGTATCGACGCTGTGACGTGGCATATAAAGTGGTCGTGAGGTGGGTCGCCTCAAAAAATGGTGCCACCATAGCAAACAGAACGATGCAGTACGTTGATTTATAGTTAAAAAAATCTGCTCTATTGTTAAATGGTGCTTATAATAACACATGTTTCCCGTCCATTTCTCCCACGGCGTGGGGAAAATTCCATGAATCATTAAAATCTTGAAATATTTTGCCATCCTTCGGAGTTACGGATCTGCAAGTGACATGTTTCAATCATTTAAATCTTATCTTATATTTTAGGTAAGCACGCGAAGCACAAGTAATACCGGAGCCACCAAATAACTTAGCAAGACTTAACAAAATGCAGCAAGGCACGACTCAAAGTACAATTGTTTAAAGAAGCTTTTGGAATTTTAAAATCTGCCTCATCAACAATCCACATACGAAATCTGGAAATCAAAGGTTTTTCTGGAATTCGTCGGAAGCAAAATGATGAAATATTCTGAACACCCAAAAAACATGGTGCAACAAAGCATTTGTGACTTAAGTTTTAAGGCAGACAACCATTATTTTGATGAAAATTTATACGATCGCACTGCAGTTTGATACTATTCGCCTTCCAGTACATCAAGTAATATGGGACAGGTATAGCAAGGACATTCCTCTATAGCTCAGTCGTCACCAGTTTAGGCGCACAGCACCCAACCTGCTGATACTATACAGCTCCCAGTATATCAGTAAATATGGGGCAGAAATGTCGAAACATTTGTCTTCAAGTCAGCCATATCCGGATCAGTATACCCAATGGTAGGGGTGAATTTTACAGGGTGAAGTTTGTTTTGTTCTATTGAAAATAAACGCCATAGTTTCAAGATTTGAAAGTCTTTCTCAATACGTGAGTTACCAATTAATTGATTGTTATAATTTTCATCTGCTGATGGTAATTAAATATACCTTTTTACAGTTTTTTGTATGGAGATAGAACAAAAATGCACAAACGAAATTACGAATGTGGAGATAGGACTCTACCTCATTGGCGATAGCACAAAGTGACTAAGTGCCAAATGTAATATACAGGTTGTTAATTGAATCTTCATACCGACTAGAATTAGTGAATGCGTGTTTTGAATTATTTTTTTGACTTAAGAATTATGGTGCTTATAAATTAAAAAACTTGTACCTTTTTTTTACTTCGTATTAATTAATTGTCAAACATAAAAAACCGTAAACTAAAACACACCTTGCACACCCTTAAACATCTAAAAATGGAAATTTTTTTGAACATCATTTTTTCATCATCATCAAAGACCGGAAAAAACTGCCCGTGTGTGCCGGACGTCGCCTAAATGGAGAATGAACCCGAAGATGGTGTCCGCGCCATTGCGGGCAAGCGCTAGGAGGGGTCCGGATGTCTTAATAATAGCAGTTCCCGGATCTCTCCTATTACTGGCGCAGAGTGGCACACCGTGTGGTTTTAGTCGTTCCGATTTCGACACACCACCCCGCCGTAAACCTCGGTGGGGTGACGGCCCAAGGGGGTTTCCACAAATTAAACAAAAAGTTAAAATTGAGTGGACATAAAACACTGTGTGTGTGGACATAGGTATTTCGTAAAATTAAAGTTAATGGATTCAGTAATAGAATTGAAAAAATTGTAGAACAAATCTGGCAATTTGTAAAAAAATATTTAAAAAACTACAGCTCTAAAAGTGCGGTCCTTCGGTTCTCACAGATCATCAGTCAGATCTTGGCAAATATCCGCAAAATTTAGTACATTTAGTAAGGATTTTTTAAAGATATTTACTGAATAACAGACCACCAAAAAATATAACGACTAAGAGGAGGAGCTCGAGGAGAGCGATTATTGAAACTGGTCCCTCAATCCTCATCTCTGCTGACACATATACATAAACTAGCTTCTTGACAAGAGAAATATCAAAACTCTAGTGTACTTAACTTTTAGTAAAATATTTATTATTCTTGTAATACTGAGGATTTTCGAAATTTTGACGTAAATTATTATATTATGTCACAATTTTAGTGACAATAATAATTACTACGGCAAAGCATATTCATTTAGTAATTAGTTTCGGTCACAGATTGCACAAGTAGCATTGTATTTGAGTAAAACCCAAATCTTTTGACGATTTTTTTATGGAAGAGGGGGCAAACGTGCGGACGGGTAACCTGATGGAAAGTGACTACTGCCGCCCAACGCCTGCAACGCAGGAAATTTTGAGCGTACCTATGTGCAAACAAAATATTTTTGAGTAAAACCGGCCTAGAATCCGACAACCAGCTAGGAGGTTTTAACACCGACCTTCTATCATCCGAGCAATCTCCTTCAAATCATCCGAGCTACCAGTCTCCACGTCCTGCCCCTTCAAGCCACGCACCATAATAATGAACACCAGGATACCTGGATTGATCTAATGCTCACCTCTGCCCCTTACCTTGTTGAGGAAACAAGGTAAGGGGCAAGGGTAAGATCAGGTCATCCTGATCTTACTTTCCTACATCCTAAAGCCTCCCGAAATTCGTCAGATCCGCGTGTTCGACACATGGATGTCGAAAAATTATATCTAGTGACTGTGCTGAGATACACTGGAAGAATATGGCCGCTGCTACCGATGTGGACAACAAAGTCAGTATTTTTAGTGACACCATCTAACTGTATGACCTCCACGCTCCTATTAGGACAGTAAAACTGAAACGTTCCATGGCACCGTGGATGACAGAAGAGGACGGAACGGCAATAAGACAAAGGGGTCAGGCTTTTCTTGATTTAGGAAGGATCCTTGTGAAAGCAACGGCAACTTTATAAGGCTGCAAGGAATCGGTGTAACCAGGTGATACGCAGCGCTAAACCCCGAGACATTCTTCATAACATAGAGTCGTCTTCCTCTTCCAGTATCTGGCCATTTCTTGGTACATTAGGTATCGGCAAACAACAACATCCCGAGTTCAAAAATACTATTGGTTTAAATGATATCAATCGTCATTTCTCATCCACAACTACGCTGGATCTTTAAACCAAGCGTCAAATGCTGAATTATATAGCTGGCTTACCCAGTCCCACTATTGACTCATTTGAATTTTCTCCAATGCCTTCTAAGGATATTAAAAAGATTATCCTATCTTTCCGCTCCAATGCTGTGGCTTATAAGTAATTGCATTAGACGTCGCATGATTGTTACCGTCCTGGACCACATCCTCTTAGCAATTACCAACATAGATAACTTTTCTCTCGAGACTGGAACTTTCCCCCTCATGGGCGTAAGGCTTACATCATCCCTCTCCTAAAAAAGGTAATCCTTCCCTTCGTGAACATTTTCAACCTATTTCTGTTCTGGAGGCCTGTGTATACAAGCAGCTCTCAGAATTTGTATACCGAAATAAACTACTAAGTCCGGCTTCAGGCCGAGCACAGCACTGTTGCCGCCTACCTTAAGGTGACTAGGAGGGGCCTGGAAGACACTAAAGTTACAGTACTCGTCTTAGTCGACTTCTCTAATGCCTTTAGTATCGTCAATCACGAAATCCTGCTATCTATCCTCACACATCTCATGATTCCCATAGAGGCACCGAATTGCTTCTCCACCTATCCTCAGGGGTGACAGCAGTGTGTTCGTGTTGAAGACTTGCCTTCCAGTGGGTGCGACCTTCACTCTGCCGTCCTACAAGGCGTATTATCTCCTCTTTTATTCTCAATATTCATAAATCGCATCACCCAACATCTTCAGTGTACATATCTATACTAATATTATAAAGCTGAAGAGTTTGTTTGTTTGTTTGTTTGTTTGTTTGAACGCGCTAATCTCAGGAACTACTGGTCCGATTTGAAAAATTCTTTCAGTGTTAGATAGCCCATTTATCGAGGAAGGCTATAGGCTATATATCATCACGCTAAGACCAATAGGAGCGGAGCACCAATGAAGAATGTTTCAAAAACGGAGAAAATTTATTACTATTGAGAGACGTAGACGAAGTTGCGCGGGTCAGCTAGTCACCTATATACTGATGATCTGCAGCTGTTCACAGGCAAGAGTGGAGTGCGTAGCGCGGGCTGTTAACGAAGTTAACAAGGACCTGGAATCCATAAATTCGTGGTCGATGAAATTTGGATTGTCGGCAAAACCCAACCAAATCATTCCAGGCGATCATTATAGGCAGCAAACATATGATAAGCAGACATTGAATATTGCTTCAATCGCACCTATCGTGTTTAACGGCTCAGGCATACCTTTTAGTCCCGTAATCAAGGAAGAGAAAATCCGAAGAGAGTCGCAAAATCACCCAGGACCAATAATCGTGTTATTTGTTCTGTGTCTGGGTGTAATTTATCTATAATATGTATGTTTTTAAAATATATATAAGTTTGTTTATCAGCAGCCTGGTTACCATAGGCGAGATGTGCGAGATATATTATTATTATTTCCCATATAATACAGAATATTGACTTAATTGACAATTTCTTTATTTCTCCAAAAAACTAATAGTTTTAACATAATATCCACAAAGTATATAGTTAGTGCGTTATGTGCCTGTGTGCATATAAAATATTAATTAAATAAGCCTGAAAAATGTACCCTTTACAGAGTAATGATAAGTGTTGAGGGTGTAAACGATAACAGAGCTGTAGCTGAATTATTCAGAGAATATTTCACGGTGTAATCGCCACTCGGTCTTTCTACTCTGAGTATGAGTGTGAATGCGGGACCCTTAATGACCGGTGATGTGTTTACTGACTCCGCTAACCAAGTAGGTACATCGTTTTATATGTAGCATGTCAAGAGGTAAGTCGCCTGGACCTGACGGGCCGGTATTGAACACCTGAAGTTCGCTGGTGCTCATCTAGCACCAGTGCTCGCAATGTTCTTCTCCCTCATCATACATACATCATCATACCTGCCGTCGGATCTGATGCAAACGATTATTGTATCTATTGTAAAGAACGAAACAGTTGATTCATCTCAAAAAAAACAACTACAGGCCTATACTATACAGAGAGAGGTACACCTGTGTATGCATACTTTCTAGACCTGTCAAAAGCTTTTGACTTGGTGTCATATGATGCACTTAGGCAAAATCTAAAAACAAAACAGGCGTGCATGCACGTGTGCGTTGCCCCAGCGGAAAAAGTTTGGATTTCATTGAATCCCAGTTGAATTAATGCACTAATTATTGGAATAGGTTTTATTACGCATTTCATTAAGAATCTCGTGCAATAAGACTGCATTTGAAACAGTGGTCCCGTCAAGGTAAATTATTCCGTAGCTCAATAATTACTAAGAGTACATCAATGATACTTGGCAAAACGTAGATGCTTACAAGGTATGTATAAACGTTATAAACTAGATCCTAGTCCATAAGCATTAAGTGCTAGGACCTAATAACGTTATTTTACGTCTTTATTTATTTCTTCTGAATGGTATGGTTTTTTTTTTAATCCGTTTTTACAAACAGTATAAACAAATTCAAAATACCGTGTGAAAAAATTTACACATTTTTTATGTGAAATCGAGCAAATGGCCAAACGTTGTCGCAGCGGAAACTTGAATATCTTCGCAGTTTATTGACGCACAAATTTCATCTAAACATACACAATTACTTACCTCACGTCATACACTAACTTTTGATACCATTGAGTTAAAACAACACTAGAGAAGCAAACCTCATTATCACCAAATATCGAAAAAAGTGTAACCACTTTTGAACTTTGACGACGTAGCTTTGATACCACGAAACATTTGAAAGTAAACATATTTATGTCTCATTTACACGCGAGACAAGAACAATACCATCGCTCGGATTAGACAAAGACAAAGACATAACTTTACGATGGTGGGCCAGTGTTGACTACCGTATGAAATTTTACCCATAACAACCAAGAAACATTTTTTTTAAAACAATTTTGTAATAAAATAAATTAATTTAAATATGTTGAATAATATATTTCGAATTGAATGGAATAGGTATAAATAATAAAATAAATAGAAATATTTGGTTAAAAGGGTTTATATTCAGTGTAAAATCAAACTCTGCTATGAAGCATCAGTTTTGTATACAATTGTCTTTTAGACTCTTTTTTATGAGTTTGTGTGAATATTTTACTTTCATGATACAATCTTATTTTTACCTATGTATAAATAATGGCATTTAATAGTAAAAGTGAATGATCAACTTGTACTGATAATAAATAATCCCCAGGGTGTATTGCAAATTCTTTTAATATTTTAAAATACAAATAAAAAAATAAATATATTTATATATATATATATATATATATATATATATTTATATTTATTTACTTTTTTATTATATATATATATTTTTTTTGTACAATTGTTATTTATATTTGATAATTAATTAAGAAAAATGAATGAATTAATTAATTAATTCTTTTATACAAAAGTCTCCAGCACTGCTAGCTTGGCAGAAGGTGAACGTTCAACGGGTCCCTAAAAAAAGTGATCGATTCAGCCCTAACAACTACCGTTCTTCCTATATTTTATTATTATTGACAAAATGTTTAAAAACAGTATAAAGCATATTATTTCATAAATTATAAATTCTCCCACTAATGTGGGAAAACAAAAATGATTTTTTAATGGTAACACTGATTCTAAATTACAATTATCAATGTTTTATTTCAATTATAGCCTTATATACGATATTATCAATACAAAAACCATAAACTTACACGTGATAAGTAATTCCGCATGATTTATTATGGTTTTGTGACCTTGAATCGCATTCTTTCACTACGCATTTACCCATTTTGGCGATTGTTGCTGTCATGTGTCGCTATGTTCAACTCGGTTGACGCCACATTGAACACTGAATTGACGTTGGCTACGCATATGCCTGTGGACAGATGTGCAGTAGCAACGATTTTAGGCGGCAAAAAAAAAAAAGTGCAGTTTTCCGTGAATAACTCCTCAATGGTTGGATGCGCAAATTTTATTTACCATACAAAATTACACGACGTCATACACTAAATATCTGTTAAACTCAAATAAATTCGAACTTTTTCCGCTGTAGCAACGCACACTGCATGCATAGGTTGAAAATTTGATTCAGTTCTGGTTTGCTAACCAGACAAATTATGTTAACTACTCGGATACGTACCGCTTGGAGTGCGGAGTGAGTAAGGGAGGGTTAAGTTCTCCTAAGCTATTCAATCTGTACGGGAATGAGTTGATAGATGGACTCAGCAGCATTCAAATAGGTTCTTCAGTTGACAATGCCTACATGAACAATTTTTTTTATGCGGATGACATGATTTTGATGAGTCTCACTGTCACTGCATTGCGGAGGCTTTAGTCATTTGTAAAAATATGGGGCAAATTGGCATGGTCTAATTTATAACAGTCAAAAAAGTGTTTACATGGTTTTCAAGTCACGCGGTAATTGTCCATCAAGAGAGCCACCTGTAAAACTAAATAAAGTTGAACTGAAGAGGGTTTAAATATCTTGGGCACTACCTTACGGAGTCTTGACGATCAAAAGGATATTGAAGGGCAGCGTAGGGCAATGGCGATTAGGGGTAATATGCTGGCCCGAAGGTTTGCTCGTTGTAGTGATGAAGTCAAAATAACATTATTTAAAGTGTATTGTCAAACCTTCTATACGAGCAGTCTATGGGTCAGCTGTACCCAGAGGTCCCTTAACACATTACGCGTTCAGTATAATGCCTTTGTAATGCTATTGAGGTTGCCCTGCTACTGTAGTGCTTCTACCATGTTTATGGAAGCGAGAGATGATGGCTTCTATGCCCTCATACGCAAGCGCACTGCCTCTTTGCTAAGAAGAGTGCGGGACAGTAACAATAGCATCCTAAGAATCATAGCCGACAAATATGACTCGACTGTTATGAAAAGCCTGGTCAGAACGTTACTACATTAACCTTAACAACAAATAGTAAGACTACTAACATAGGTTAAGAAAAACTGTACACTAACACTATGGACTCTGTCTCAATAAATAAAAAATATTATTATTATAATAAATGATCATCAGAGTCATCACAAACCTCAAAGAGAGAAAATTAAACTACCATAATAACCATCTCTATTAGTTTTATTACTATCTAATCAAGCTAAACCTTCCCTCTTCTTCCATTCACTTTTCAGTTTTGCCATTTTCTGTTTTTTATACTCAGATTTTTTGTACTTCTTTTCTTGTAATCTTTTCTTTTGAGCTGCTACACTATTATCGCCATTTAAGTCTTCATCTAGTTTGGCAATTATCATTTCCCGAGCTAATTTCCGATTTTCGTCCTGACATCTGCTTATATGGCATTTTACAACTGTTCCTGTAATATATAAAAAAATATAAATTACATTACATTGTTCTAATTTTATATATTTATATTATATATTATGAAGAGAAAACAAGAACTAAATTATAAAGTGCTCGAATAGCTCTCTTTGGTAGTACAAAAATAGTTTGAATGTCGGCAGCATTCCCCCATAGTAGAATACCGTACGACATTACGCTGTGAAAATAACTGAAGTACTTGTAACCACTTTGTAAAATTAGTAAGTGTCCGTTTTAGTCTAAATAATAGTGCTGTATCATCTGCAAACAATACAATCTCGAAATTGTCCTTGACAAGGTGAGGTAAGTCGTTCATAGGTTCAGAATAGAACCTTGTGGAATGCCCATTTCTACCACAGAGCCTGAAGACCGCTTACCATTAATATCAACTTTCTGAATCCTATTATTTAGATATGAAGCAAAAAGTTCCAGTGCTTTATTTTTGATACTATAGTGCTGTAATTTCCTGATCAGCATTTCATGAATAACACAATCAAAGGCTTTATATAAATCGCAAAAGATACCTAATGAATTGTGAGCATCCTCCCAGGCATCAAATATATGTTTTATTAGCTTAACACCATCAAGTGCAACAGTATCAAGTCTCGAGCGACCGCTTGTAAAACCAAATTGTCTATTGTGTAATAAATGATTATTAGATATTAAAATAGCATTGCAATTGATAATCCATCATTTTATTTTAAATTTTGCTAAATACTGTTAGTTCTGAGATAGGTCTAAATTTAGTTGGGTCAGATGTACTACCAGATTTGAATTAGGGAATAATTTTACTAGACTTCATAAGATCAGGAAATACACCACTATCAACAGACACACACACATTGATTAAATGTAAAAAATGTAAAACAACTGATTAGCCACGAAAGATATAATTGTCTTAGTAATTAATACAGAATTTCCCTTCTTTTTCTGTCAGTTAATTTTGGGTACAATAGCATCATGTTAGTAGTACCAAACTCAATTATTGGTAATATATTAATATATTCCTTAGTATTACTATATAACAAATGATACATTATTGATCAAAAGACGTTGTAACAACTAACAATAATGCCACATCTAATACCGAGCTGCTAATGCAGTAGATAAGAATCTTTTGCCCTAAACATGATAATTTTACTAATTCATTTAATGATTCATAAAAATAAACCTACTACATATGTTTTAATAACTAAAATATAATTTAAAAAAGAAATTAGGCAGGGAACAAGATACTTAACTATTTTGTCATTGCTTAATTCTACAAAGATATTCATATATTAACAGAATCTTACCAGATGGTATGTGAGTAAGAACTACACAGTTTGAATTTTTATTGACAGCAGAACCTCCTGGACCACTGCCTCTAACAAAATTTTCAGTTAAATCACACTCATTTATTTTTGGAACTTTTGAGTAGTCTATTGTATGTTTAAAGGCTACACATACACGTGAAAATACCATACAATGGAGCCGTGAAACAGGTTTAAGCAACATCATTAAACAACTGATCCCCGACGCAGCAATGCCTGTCCCTTCTGAAATTAATTAGAATTCATCAGGACACGGGACGTATATCAGGTGTAAAGGATAGGTTAATCTCATTATTGTGTTGACAACTAATGTGAATCTTTGAGAATCTTTGAGAATCTACAAGAATATCAGAGTAGTAAAAATAACTTTGTCAAAGTAATTACAGTGATAAAACATGTAAACGAATATGAATGTAGGAAGTTCCTAATAGCTACTACAGGCAGCTTCCTACAATTTAATTTGGTATTGATTTTACTATATAAAATATGACAGTAAAGGATGTCTTTATTATTAAAGGTTAGGCTAGGATAATAGCTTAGCAAACAGCTGATGTATTGTTCAAGAACCGAAATGGCATTTAATTAATACATACTAAATAAGAATGAATAATAACAAAACAAAATAGATGACATTTTTTTTTTCCAAAATTTATATTTTTCCTTTAGGCAGTAGTATCTTATGGGTCAGGGTTTTTAATAAATTTATTTGTGATTCCATACGATGGCCACTAACGCTATGGTAAAACCCACATACATACTTTATATGCAAATGTTATATCTTCGATTTTGGTAAGGGACCTGTTGTTTCTAAATTCAATTGCAACTCGTCTTCTAAAGTAACTTGGATCTGTCAGTTTAAGAGACTTGGAATATAACATTAGATTTTTATAAAGTCTAAGAATCTCCGTCTTTGCTATTTGCATTATATTTGTTTGGAAAATTTTATGTATTAATAGATAGCTACTCATAAAACACTCATCGGCATTCGGCATAAAATGAAACTTGCGAAAGTGAAGTGATTAGGGTCCACCGTTATAAAATATTACTAATCAACTAAATTCGGCAACTTTTTCTACTAATATCTACTGAAATCTACAGAAGTTCAAAAAACTACCAATCTATATTTTAAAGCATTTGAACAATGTGGTTGAAAAAAAACAAGATTTATTATTTTAATTAGATTGAGAATATGTATAATAAAATAATTAATAAAGAATTAATTATTAATTATATCAGAATAAAATATATAAATTTCTATGACAATAATATAATTACAATTTTTGCTTAATCTTAATCATATTAGAATCAAGTACAAAGTTTGTACAATTTTCTCCACTATCAATTATCCCTTGTTTTGTGTGAAAAAGCGATGATAGTCTGTATTTAAAAACCGATTACGATGTTTAGTTTTAATTAAATTAATTTGCGATAATATACGCTCACAGGAAGCGTTCGAAACGGTCACACATCATCGCTTTTGCAAATTTACAGATATTATAATATTTCAATTTATTATTACTATCTGTTAATATCGCTCACCCAAAATTTATCACTATCATGTAACACTGTAGAGTCACTGGACGATGCTAGTAAATTTTGTACGCTATTATCACATTTTAACTGACGATACTCTTCGTCAATTAATTGTTGTGTATTTTCGTCACACACTAAATTAGGAAACCGTTGAGTCAATACTACGAGACTAGAAAACTGCTCATGAGGGTCCATAAATATTAAGTCTCTAAAAAAATGACGTTACATTAGCAGTCTCTTTTTCAATTGCATGCATAGCTCAATTAGAAATAACCGCGACCTTCTTAAAATCTTCTAAATTTTTATGGTCTGATCCCTACCCATATTTACAATTTTGCTACTTTAACACCCAAATACATTTGATTAAAATCAAGAAAATGTATATCACTGCTAGGATCAATGTTTTCTATAGTAGTCGCTGATATGTATCCATTTTTTATATAATAACTCAGTAAGGCTTATTCATATCGCTCATATCCCTTTATTATCTATGGATGGCACTATATGCCGATTGGAGAATTGTGTTAAATTTATTAACAATTAGTAACACATAATTCAAAAACAAAAAATCTAATTTTGATACATCATCATCAAAATTAACTTTTAAAATTCAGCATTAAGATTGCGATCTAATAAATATTGATGATTAAAATACAATTTCAAAGCGTCCCATTGTTCAATTATTCTATTTACACAGGCATGCAAAGAAAGCCATCTGATCTCGTAATGTCGCAATAAATTGTGATTCTCGGAGTCAACAAAATTTTGAAATTCGGTAAATTCTCGTTGTCGCTTATTGCTGTGACTAAAATAGTTGTAAACACATTGATATAATACTTACATAGATGAGTAATTACCGCCTAAAATCGTTGCTACTGCACATCTGTCCACAGGCATATGCGTAGCAAACGTCAATTCAGTGTTCAATGTGGCATCAACCGAGTTGAACATAGCGACACATGACAGCAACAATCGCCAAAATGGGTAAATGCGTAGTGAAAGAATGCGATTCAAGGTCACAAAACCATAATAAATCATGCGGAATTACTTATCACGTGTAAGTTTATGGTTTTTGTATTGATAATATCGTAAATAAGGCTATAATTGAAATAAAACATTGATAATTGTAATTTAGAATCAGTGTTACCATTAAAAAATCATTTTTGTTTTCCCACATTGGTGGGAGAATTTATAATTTATGAAATAATATGCTTTATACTGTTTTTAAACATTTTGTCAATAATAATAAAATATAGGAAGAACGGTAGTTGTTAGGGCTGAATCGATCACTTTTTTTAAGGACCCGTTGAACGTTCACCTTCTGCCAAGCTCGCAGTGCTGGAGACTTTTGTATAAAAGAATTAATTAATTCATTCATTCATTTTTCTTAATTAATTATCAAATATAAATAACAATTGTACAAAAAAATATATATATATAAAATAAAAAAGAAAATAAATATAAATAAAAAAATTTAAAACAAAAAAAAATATAAATATATTTTTTATATTTTTTTTTATTTGTATTTTAAAATATTAAAAGAATTTGCAATACACCCTGGGGATTATTTATTATCAGTACAAGTTGATCATTCACTTTTACTATTAAATGCCATTATTAATACATAGGTAAAAATAAGATTGTATCATGAAAGTAAAATATTCACACAAACTTATAAAAAAGAGTCTAAAAGACAATTGTATACAAAACTGATGCTTCATAGCGGAGTTTGATTTTACACTGAATATAAACCCTTTTAACCAAATATTTCTAGTTATTTTATTATTTATACCTATTCCATTCAATTCGAAATATATTATTTAAAATATTTAAATTAATTTATTTTATTACAAAATTGTTTAAAAAAAAATTGTTTCTTGGTTGTTATGGGTAAAATTTCATACGGTAGTCAACACTGGCCCACCATCGTAAAGTTATGTCTTTGTCTTTGTCTAATCCGAGCGATGGTATTGTTCTTGTCTCGCGTGTAAATGAGACATAAATATGTTTACTTTCAAATGTTTCGTGGTATCAAAGCTACGTCGTCAAAGTTCAAAAGTGGTTACACTTTTTTCGACGTGTGAAAATGAGGTTTGATTCTCTAGTGTTGTTTTAACTCAATGTGTAAACATATTTAACAATCTAGTCAATATTTCGAGGCAGTTCATGCATAGCAGATAGGGCAACAGAGTGACATACACTACAAAAATGCAATGAAGATTAATAGACTGTATTTTTAACACCACTCCTGTCAGTGCCAAAAATTACATTAGCTGTATCCGCGGCAAAACCAAGTACGTCTGCTACATTTAAATAAAAAATTTAAAGCCATTCGATAAAGCATCAAAAATATCTTGTGAAGATTCTCATTCTAAAGTAATAGAAAATAAAAATTTGGTCACAGCACATTTATGTTGTGTTGAATAATACATAACTGCTATAGCTAGAATTTTGTCAGTTCTAACATCTGTAGTCTCATCAATTATTATAAAAAAAAAATATTTTTCCCTGAAGGCGGCTTACATGAAACACTATCTTCGAAAAGTTTTTTTTCGAATATTAGTGCTATAGCGATATATATAAGATGAGCTGCTTTTGTTCTCTTGCTTGTGAATGCCTTTGCTATCTCGAAGTCGTGTAATGCTCGTTTGAAGACGAAGCTCAAGTGGTCCATGACTCTGACTGAAGGGTATGTTGTGTTCAACTAGTGCAGCGCAAATTATGAAATCGGCTTTAGTTGTTTCATCTGATAAAGGGTCCTTCTTAAAACAAGTATCGACCTGGAACAAAACTAAACTAAACTAAAAAAAAACATATTTTAAACAAATATTTTGACATTGTCACCTATCAACTAGCCCAAATCAAGTAGCTTATGCCGCTTATGTTATGGATACTAGATGACGGATAAATATACATAACAGATATATTTTTACAAATATTCATAATATACTCAATACGTATATAAACATCCAAGACTGAAGAAGAAATGCCTGTATTCATCACACAAACATTTGCCCCCAGCGGGAATTGTACCCAGAACCTCTAGATATGACCACGCCTTGAAACCGGGGCGTACAAACCACTCGGCCACCGAGATCGTCGAGATGGTTTTAAAACATTGCGTTTACAAAACAAAACTATGGTGGCCTAGCATAGTATACCTCATTGGAAGTTTTCTAGAAAAATGAATGCAAACTTGAATAAACCAGTTTTAAAATGTGGAACTTTTTGATTGTTATTATTGTTTCATCGAATTAAAATATTTGAATGATATAAAATAAAATTTTAATATTCATATTTACATAAGGAAATATAAGTGAAAATTACCCTTTAAACTAGTTTAAACGATACTCTGAATCGTAATTAAAATAATTCTTAAAATATACTCTAGTCTTTAAAAATTTAGAGTGCAAAATTCCGTGTCAGTCGGGCTTAAAAGTATAAACGCGGAAGGAGCCCCTGCTGCCAATACAATTTATAAGCTTGGACACAAATCCTTTCAACCGGGACCATTATTGCTTCAAATATACTGAAATCTACTAAATTTTTGGAAACTACTGCATATCTACTGCATGGTCAAATTTTCATTGTAAATCTACTGCTGCAGTAGAAAACACTGTAAACGGTCACACTGGTGAAGACGTAAAGTGCAAGTTTTTTTTTTAACATTGAAGAGAAGTGAAAATAGTGAAGTTATCTATCAAAAATTAAGACTTGGCTTAAAGGGCTTCCTACCAGGCCATAAAAATACAATAAAAAAAAAAAAGTTTGTTATTTTATTTTTTTAATCACGACATTATAAAAGTGTTGCCAAGACAGACGAGAAAACCAATAGAATAGATAAAAAGACTAAAAAAACTATTTATGTGTTAAAATACAACAAATCAATAGAGATGACACAGATTTCTAAAGACAAAATAAAACGTTTGCTGAATGAGACTACAATTTTTTTTTCAAAATCTAAACCGGTACGTTTTATGGCTAGTGAAGTGAGAGACTATCTGAAAAATACTCTGCTACAAACTAGCTGAGCTAAAGAACATTATTCGATTTTATATTCTATCTTGAATGAAATTATGACATATTTTGTAATAGGCTGCGTTAGGGCTGCCCGTTGCCAGTATTTTAATTATATTTGCCTACTTTCTGTTTCTATTTAGATTTGTGATTGTAAATATCCTTTTTATATAAATAAATGAAATACTTTGTATATTGAATAGGAAGTGTTCAATAAAAATGCGTGTTGTTTTTTGATTGGTAGATTTAATTATTTTATTTTCTTTCTGCATTGGAGGAGTTCAAGTTTCAATTTTCTTTTTCTTGGAGTGTTGCTAGAGAGACTCGTTGAGGTTTGAGCAAAGATTTCATTTGTTGCATTTTCAGTCTGTGT